AACGGCGAGGGTATAAATGGACCAATCTTTAAACGGAGGGTATATCTAAACCTTTTCAAATTGTTTAGGGGCATATTTGACCCTTCTCCCTTTCTTAATTAAGTCCATCAAGTAAGCATTATGCATGTTCGATTACTACACCGATCCAGACCACTCCACCCCCTCATGAGCCTTATCATAATTAACAGGATGTTGACATATAATCTGTTAGGCTTTTAGGCTTTTTTTTCAATTAACAAATGTTTACGTCTTTATATTAAAAACTACTATAACATTAATTACTTTTTTAGTCACACTTTGTTTATTTTTATAGTCGCATAAAGCACAAACAAATTTCACTACTTCAACAGGCGAAACCACAATTTTATAAAGATGATTTCAAGTGTTAATAACTGGGTTGTAGACCTAGTATTTCTACTGATTGCTTTGTTATCTTAATATTTTTTTCTCTTTTGTATTTATTATTATTATTATTATTTAATAATCATATTTCATCTTTTATTCTATCTTTTCATAGTAGCTATATCCCACACCTTATTTTTTCTTGTAGTTTTATCATTCATTTAAATTATAAATATGTGACATTATATAATTATAAAAAACGATACAATCAATTATAATATTATATTTATTAAAATGATATAATATAATATAATATAATACGATACATCAAGAAAGAACGTTGACTGTGTAGCAACCATATTGGGCTCAGGTTCAATAAAGCCTGTTCAAGTAAAGTTGGATGTCCTGTCAAGCCCAACTTAGCTTATACAACTATTCCAATCACTCATATTTTGCTAATAAAAGGAAAAGATTGAACCTGTAACAAACAAAAACAATTAAGCTCATCAAATTTTGCATTTATTTGTTGTGTAGATATATCTTAAAATTAATCAAATTAACGAGTTTTTGTCATTCGATTGTCCAACTGATTAATTAATACTTTATGACGTACCCTATTTTATTCGATCAAATAGTTGATTGCCTAAGCACGAATAGTCATAAATAAAAATGCAACTCTAGAAAGGAACTTGGTTTCAAAATAACTGACCCTGATTCTTCTTTTGCATTATTCTCAAAATATTTATGGATCGAGTTTGATTTATTGCTATAGGTAGACTCATATATTTTAGTTACCTCAATTTTAGAACTTCGTATTATATTATTCGAAACTTTAAACATTCTCTTCTTAACTAATGAGTGGTTGTTAAAGTGTTCCACAATAGTTAAAGAGAATAAATTAAGTTACATCAAGTTTGAATTAAATTGATATAAAGTTAAAGTTTTGTTTGATATATTTATCAATATTTTAAGTTTGTATTTTTTTTTATAATTATAAAAATTTTACGATCTGTAAAAAACTATCATAGTTCTCTAATTCTCACATAATTTTGTCATATGAACAATTCATACATCATAAAGATATTAGATTATCTTAAGATGCCATATTGATAAATCACACATATCTTTATATTCTTTTTATAATATCCGTGATTAGAAATTTTTAAGTACACAAATTTTATAATATTACTAAAAAGAATCACTATATTTCCATTAAAATGTTTTGTTGGAAATTGTAATTGACTCTTTCCACGAATATTTTGAATGAATCGGTGAAAAAATAAAAGGAGAATAGTGTTATCACATAGAAAAATATAGGAAATTTTCCTCTATTTTAATAAGAATATGTTTCCTATAACGTGTTTTTTCAGTGAGCTAATTCAATGAAAAATGAGTGAAAAAAATTGTATTTCATATCACAATCTCTCAGTTATTCGCGGTGGAAAAACTTTTATTTTAGTGCTGTTAAAGATTCACTAGTCAAAAATAGTAGTAACTAGAGATCTCTAGTAACTAGTTATTCTTTAATGTTATATTTGTCTCAATTTATATGTCTAACTTTCATTTTTCAATTGATTGAATAGATGACAAGTTTTTATATTTAGTAACAATTTAACTTGAAATATTTATTTCCTTTTAATGAAATGATTTTTTCTCATACAAACATTTATAACTTATTTTACACCACAAATTTTAAAAGTGAGTTTTTTTTCTAAATTTCGTGTCAAGTCAAACTAAACACATACTAAAAGAAGAGAACATATTTTTTTTCACATAGTACAAATAATCTCTTCACGGCTCACGCCAAACTCAATGTCTTTTTTCTAGAGTTTTTTTTACCAAATATAAATATAATCCAAATTTTACATTAAAAAGTTGAAAAATCATAATTAAAATTTTTTAGATTTGAATATTGATTAGAGAAAAAATATAAAGAAACATTTGAAGTTGTCTCAAATTTTGAAAAGGATATCTAAACTATACAAGTGTCTTATTGCCCCCTAAACAATCCTGAACTGATATCATTATATCAGTTTTTGTCCACCCGACATGAAGAGTGTATGCACTTCTTCAAGAGCATGAACAAACTTAAAAAAACAAATATAATTTTATTTTTACAAATACTTTGCTATAAAATATATTTTTAAGTTTTCTATTATTTTAAGTTTTTCTCCTTATTATGTTATTCTTTTTCTTTCTTCCTTCTTCTGCGAAAATTTATTGTCATCTTCATTGAAACTTCTCATTTTGCCCAACTCCACCTCTTTACTAATATTAGCTTAACTCTTCAATTTTAAATTATATCTAAATATTTTATTAGATTTTAAACAATTTGATAAACCCATTAGATTTCAAGATGATTAGCAGGTATTATTTAGTTTTTTTATTAAAAAATCCAAATTTCAATTAAACTTTTCCAACTTTTGGTGAGTTCTGATTTTTTTCAAAATTATCATTTCTAGATTTAAAGTTATATAACTATGAGATAAATTAATTGATGATACCTTAATTTTAATTTTTCTTGAAAAAATAATTAGTTTTGTTATTAATAACTCAACAAGGTCTAGAAATTATATAATTTTGAAAATAAAGAAATTTGATTGAAAAAGAAGATAAAAGAAAGAAAATGGAGGTGCTCAACTTAACGTGAAGGTGGAGTAAGGTGAGAGTGGGAGGTGAAGAAAAACAAAGAAAGAAAGATAAAGGAGGGAGGGGTAATCTGAAAGTAGGGATGGAAGATGAAGTACAATTCAAAATCAAATTAAAATTACTAAAAAAGAAAAGAGAGAAATAAAGAAAAAACCTAAAATAAAAAAAAATTATATTTCAAATTAAATTAACACGAGTCACACATTGATTGGTGTGTGATAAGTTTACCATCTAAAATCTGGAATTGATCGAAATATGATGTAATAATGTATGTTCGAAATTGTTTAGGAGGTAATAAGACGATTGCATAATTAACGTATCTTTTTAAACGTTCGACATAACTTCAAATATCACTGTATGTCTTTTGTCTAATTCATTATTATAAATCTTTAAAATTACGATTTGAAATTCTAACTTCAAATAGCATGTCCAATTATGTCAACTTTAAAGTTAAGTTATGTCCAAATGAATTTTCTAAAACTCACGTGTAGACAAACCAAAGATCAAATTAATATATAATAGAGATACAGCAGCATATATTATACCCATCTAACTTTAATAGTACTAACATTGTAGATGTTTTCTCAACATCAATATCCTTTCCTTTCTCATATTTTCACCAATACAATTTTCTGTCTCGCAATAATTGTGTGTTGTTTTGAATGGAAAATCATTTGGGTCTTTTGAGAATTCGTATTATCAGAGGAATTAATTTGGCCATTAGAGACTTGAGAAGCAGTGATCCTTATGTTGTTGTTAGAATGGGCAAACAGGTAATTTCTCCCCTACTCTTTCTGTTTCACCTTTTTTTTTCTCTCCCTCTTAGTATTAAATTGGAACATAAATTTGTCTCTGTCCTCAAAATACCCTTCTTTGACCATTTTGTGTGCTGAAAATTGCGTACGGCAAACGCTGTTTATTATCAAGTCAAAATTTTGTAAAGCAAGACGATAAAGCCCAGACTTGTTTGTTTTACCTCTATTTTTGTTGTGAGTCGGAAAATTATAAATAAATTTTAGTTGTTCTAAAAAGATAAAAATGAAGTTATAATCGAGCGAGTTTTAAATTAAAAAATCAAAATTAAGTGATTTTCTATGAAAAAAAAATAGTCCGTTGAGGGTGACCTTAAGAATAATTTAAGATGAACGTCAACAATTCAAGTGATTTTCAGTATGTTAACAAAAATAAATGGAGCGGAGCTTCAAATTGTAGTGTTATTTTAGACGGTGTTCACTAATTTTGTGTTTGATATTATTGGAATCAGAAATTGAAGACTCGAGTGGTGAAGAAGAATGTTAATCCTGAATGGAATGAAGACTTAACGTTAGGTGTTGCTCAACCTATTCTCCCAATCAAGCTGGTAACTTCCTTCAATTTGTTTGATTACGAAATTAAATATACTTTGCTTTACCAAGAGGAAATTAAACAATAAGACACGTAAAACAGAGCCTTTGAAGGTAAATTATGCTTTCAGTTTCAACTAAGATGAAAATGATCATGATCTGCAGCAAGTTTATGACAAGGATACATTTTCTCGCGATGATAAAATGGGCGATGCAGAACTTGACATTGTACCATTTATAGATGCAGTAAGGATGACGCGCTATAAGAACATCCCCAATGGAGTAATAATTTCGAGAATAATGCCTAACCGGCAGAATTGCTATTCAGAAGAAAGCTGTATTGTGTATGAAAATGGCAAGGTTGTTCAAAACGCGTTTCTTAGATTGAGGAATGTTGAGCGTGGTGAGATACAACTACAGTTGCAGTGGATACACATTCCTGGTTCCAAGAATCTATAACTATTTCTATCCCAGCTAATTGTGGCCATTATGCTTCTGTTTCTTTGTTTCTTTTGAATTTCTAATGGCCGGCCTTGTAAAGAAAGCTAGATATTTTGTATTTGTTGATATCATAAATTATTGATGTTCAATTAAATGAACTTGTCCTGTTTCTGTTGTTGCTTACATGCTGACAACAAAATCTAATTACATAAGCCATTGAGATAGCGTATTATATTTATCTCATCACAATTTTTAGCTATAAAATGTATTCAAATGCTATATTCAAATTGATTAGGTTCAATCAAATTTAGACAGGTCATTATGGGTTAAGACGATAACACGTCGAGACACAATTCAATTCAAATTTGCTTCGGTTAAAAGGGGTTGGATAAGATGAGTTAAGTAACAGGTCATATAATGGGTCAAGACTCAGCCCAGTTCAAGTTTTACTATCTTAGTTATTTCATCTGTTATTTTAAGCTATTTTAATACGAATTCTTATTTTTTATTTATTATGACTATATATAAAAATATTTTGTCAAAATTTATCATAAAACAATTTGGATTACATATCAACCCAATATTTAATGAATTGAAGTGAGTTAAGCTAATAAATGAACGTATCAATAATAAACTTAAATTTGAACTAAATTGAATGGATTGAATTTGATTTTGCGACCCATAGACCAGCTTTACTCTGTCTCTATCATAAGTTGGTCCAAAATGCGGGGAAGTTAATCCCAATAATAATTTCAGCAAATGATGAAGATGCGAAGGTTATTGTTCTGTTTCCACTCTGGCAAAAAACAGACGAGAGCCTAATTACTCCATTTGCAAGAAATTTTATTACAATCTTAAAATCATCACTAAATACAAAAGCTGGTGACAGATATTGAAATCCTTTATCTTTTAGTAGGATGTTTGCTACTCTTTTCGTTATAAAATAAGTGGTGTTTGTAGTTTGAACATATGAGTAAAATTCAAAAAATTTCAAACTTGTAATTCATCATTTAATTACTGGTATTTCTCGTGCAATTTATATTTTAATAACTATACACCTGATTGAGTATATTTCTGTAACGACCTGTTAGTCGTTTTGAATAGTAGAGTTTATTTCTGGTAATAACTGTGTGGGTCGACGGATTCCACGACGGACCATCGAGGGGGTCTCGTTCCAAAACACTTAGATTCTGAAAATTTGGGTACTGAGATCGACTCTCTGAACTTCGCGACGGAAGAGCAGGACGGACCGTCGTAGGCACGACGGACCGTCACAGACTCTTTAATGAATTTGAGTCTCTGAACTCTGTGACGACTCAGCAAGACGGACCGTCGCTGGCACGACGGACCATCACAGGCTGCGTAACCCTGACTGGGTCGGATTTCTGTTAAATGTTTTAAGGGGTGTTTTGGACTATTCGTGCTTATGATTATAAAGTTAGTGGGTTAATGTTAATAATTCAATTACTTGGGGGTTAAAGGTGATAACCTTGAAATAAATAGTGGGTTACTTTTACCATCTTTTATACTTAATTATATGGTAATTAGGGTAAAAGAAAAAGAGTTGGAAGAAGAAAAAGAAGAGAGAAACGAGCGAGGGAAAGAGAAGAACGCAGAGGAAAGCAAAGGTTTTGGGGGATAGCTTGCTTGATCACAATTCTTCGGTGGAGGTAGGTTATGGTTTATGCTATTCCATAGTAAACTCTTAATAGCGAATGATATGTATTGGGTTGTATTGTAAAAGTCTTCTATATGCTTAATTGTGTGTTTGCATGATGTGATTATAGATAATTGTGATAAAATAAGCATGATAAGGCTGTTGAATCTTAAACCTTAAAAACCTCTTTGTTAATGATGATGCCTTGGTATAGAAGAAGACTTGATGAACTAAAAAGAATGAGGTTAGTGGATCGGGTGTCACATTCCGACACCAGGATAGTAATAGTGGATCGGGTGTCACGTTCCGACACCAGGATAGTATTAATGGATCGGGTGTCACGTTCCGACACCAGGATAGTAATAGTGGATCGAGTGTCACGTTCCGACAGCAGGATAGTATTAATGGATCAGGTGTCACGTTCCGACACCAGGATAGTATTAATGGATCGGGTGTCACGTTCCGACACCAGGATAGTATTAATGGATAGGGTGTCACGTTCCGACACCAGGATAGTAGAGGATCGGAGTGTCACGTTCCGACACCAGGATAGTATGAGGAGGATGGGAGTGTCACGTTCCGACAACAGGATAGTAAAAAGAATGAATCTTGAATTATGCTAATATACTCAATTTAATGAACCTGTTTCCCAAATGAGTATGGTGTGGAGGCTTGAGTCCTCATAGATGTGTTTGGGTTGTGCCCAATGGTTATGGTACTTGTTGTTGTCACCTGTTAAGTGTTATGGTTGATTTTATGTTATTATTCGATATATATTGTTTTCTATTTTGAGTTGGCTGATGATATCTACTCAGTACTTGTGCTTGTACTGACCCCTACTTGTATGTTTTCTCTTTGTTATTTGTGGAGTGCAGCAAACGTACCGTCGTCTTCAACTCAACCGCAACTCTAGCCAGACTTCAGCATAATCAGATTTCAAGGTGAGCTATTGTTCCTAGCTCGGACTGGATTCTTTCCCTCGCGTCTTGATGTCTTGAAGTTCGGACATGGACCATCTCTTTTACTTATTTTAGCTTCTTAGATACTCTTAGCTTTAGTAATTTGAGGATAGATGTTCTTGTGATGATGACTTCCAGATTTTGGGGAATGATAAGTATTGAATTTTAGAAGTTATTAATTGATTTCGTTAATGAGTTTTAAGTCTTCCGCATTATATTCTGTTTATTATGGTTGAAATGTTAGGGTTTAGATTGGTTGGTTCGCTCACATAGGAGGGTAAGTGTGGGTGTCACTCGCGGCTCGTTTTGGGTCGTGACAATCTCATTATCACAAGTCAATTAAATAAAAAATATATAGCGCACTGGTAGAAAAAAACACAAATTTGCAATGACATGTTAAAATTGGTCTCGGATCTAATTTAAAAAAAAAATTAATGGGAAGATGATTTCTTAAGTCTTATAAAAAGATTACTTATCTCATTAACTATTGAGACTTTTTCATTTCTTTAATATCTCACTTCACAGTCTATCATTAGTCATCAATACGAGACTTTTTTATTCTTCAATACTTCACATCACTCTCAGGCAACATTTGACATGTGATGAGATGGGTCCTATTTTAATATCATATTGAACTTGATCCTGAGCCTACCTCATACTTAAAAAACTAGCTCAAAAGGAGAAAAATTATTAGAGACATAAAAATAATTATTTTCTAATAAATATAAGCTATAATTCAAATCAAGTTAAATCTTGGGTTCTTTATTTTACACTCCATTATATAACATGCAATTACTAATGCCTGTTTGGATGAGCTTCTACAATATACTTATTTATAAGTCATAAGTTAAAAGTCATAAAGTAGAAGGTACATACTTTTGACTTATCTTTCAACTTTTATGATTTAAAAACAAATGCTTACAACACTTTTTAACCTTTTCAAACACCTTCAAAATTAAAAATTAAAAATATTTAAAAAATTAATTAATTCAACCGAATACTAGTTAAGAACAACGAGAAAACTGCCTTCTGTCTGTTGCCATGAAATGTATAGGTAGGAATTGTTTTATGCTTGGAAAGCCCGTTGCGCGCTCTCAATCCCCTTTTTACACTCTACTATATAACATGCAATTATAAATTTCTGTTTGGATGAGCTTCTACAATATACTCATTTATAAGTCATAAGTTAAAAGTCATAAGTAGAAGGTACATTAATTTTGACTTATCTCTTAACTTTTATGATTTAAAAACGAATATTTAAAACACTTTTTAACCTTTTCAAACTCCTTTAAAATTAAAAAAAAAATATTTAAAAAATCAATTAATTCAATCGAATAGTATGTTAGGTGTGTACATATATATATAGTGTGTATTTGACTGCTATCTGACTATATATGCATGGATCAGGAGTACTCTATCCATACACAAGATTGTGATGTCTGAACTCACATTTTGCTAGTGGATATATGTACCCCAGTGGCAACGACTTGACTTTTGAGTACTGTTAGGGAAAACTATATATCGTCCATCTATCTTTCTATGATTTTCTGATTTATAATGACATCATAAACATTTTGATCCTTTCGTTTGTCCACGTCTCAAGGTTTCTTTAATTGCAACATAGTGGTCCCTTTTCTATTTGTAGTATGTATATGTTCAAAAGGGTAATTGTTCAAACCCCCTATCATTTTTTATCGTTACGATTTCACAATCCTATTTAACATATTATCATCGAATTCTTAGCAATAAGATAATAATTCAAGTAGTTAATATATTGAGTTACTATGACGACGTTATTAATAAAATAGTTAAAGTACACCTTAATTAACTTGAATACCATCTTTATTAAGGAAAAAAAAAGTTGAAACGAAAAATAATGATGAAGTAAGGAATTTAAAAAAAAAGGAAAAAGGGTAGGAAAGAGAGGGTCTCAATTTAAAGAGACCCTATTTAGTCCTCTCATTAAAATTGTGTTTGTTGAAGAGACAGTAACAAAGGAAACATTGCATGTTAAATTTGTGTCACATATTGATTGATGCGATGCTAACTGTCTTTTTTGCGCTATTCTCATATACTTATGAGTTTGACTTGGATTTATTGGTATTTTTTTAATATAATATGTTGGTGTTGATACAAGACAATTTTAGAGTCAGTTTTGAGGTGAATCTCAGGACGAAGCATAGTGAAATCATAAGAAATTTGGAGTTAGAAATATCATGAGATATAAACCCTATCATTTGGACGTATGCTTAGGTGAGACGCGTTTTTCTTTTGAGGCGTAAATAGAAAGAACTTTTCCTAATTAAAAATGTTAATAAGTTCTTACACTAATTCCCAAAACATAAAAAACAATTTGTTATTGTTCAGACGAACCTAATAATATATTTATAGACCTTATATATTAACTTGTTAACTTCCGAACAAAATTGATTGATGTCTTAATAGTAAGGAAGAGATGGTATAAATACTTTTTCATACTAGGATTTTGAACCCCATCATATCAAGAAAAGATTAATTTTTTAAAAAGGAAACTCATATTTAGTGAAACTAAACATTCATTAGGATTTGACTTATTTTAGATACTTTTAAATTAAAATAATTTGAAAGTGTTTGAGTAAAATTAAAAAATATTTGTAAACACTTATTTTAAAGTTAAATAAACAAAAATAAACCAAAGTCAATAACTAAAAAATCCTAAATTATAACTTTTGACTTATAAGCGATAAACCAAAAGTCAATTCAAACGGGCCCTAACTCGTAAACAATGAGGGGTAAGGTTCTAGATGTTTCTTGACATTCCTTTCTGGGGTAGAATTTCAATTTTTCTAACTTGCAATTCTGTGGACCCCATCCCCTGCCTATACCCTTCTAAGGTTTTAAATTTAACTACTATAAAGCTACCCACTTTTGCAAAATAAAAAATCACTACAAGTTTTAAAGGTTTGAATGGAGAATCAGTTGGGTCTTCTCAGAGTTCGTATAATCAGAGGCATCAATTTGGCCATTAGAGACTTAAGAAGCAGTGATCCATATGTTGTTGTTACCATGGGCAAACAGGTAATTTCCCCCCCTTTTCTTCTTCTTCACTCTTTCAGTTTCACCTCATTTCTGTTCTTCTTTATTCAAAATTCCGTAACCTCAGATTTCTCTGTGTTAATTTTAATTATAAAATCAAAATTCTGTAGTTTTCAGGAACTGAGAAAACAAAGCTTGTTTATCGTATCTCTCGTTTTGTTATGTGTGCGAGATTTATGTAATTGTTGACTATCTTCAGTTTATACAACAAAAATTTATCATACGAATTGTTGTGGGAGTTGCTGAATTGTTTTGTTAATTTTGTGTTTGCTATTATTGGAATCAGAAATTGAAGACTCGAGTGGTGAAGAAGAATGTTAATCCCGAATGGAATGAAGACTTAACGCTATGTATTACTGAACCAATTCTCCCAATCAAGCTGGTAATTTAATTTTCTTCATGTTGTTTCATTATGAAATTAATTTAATTATTCTTTTGATTAATCAAGAGAAAATTAAACAATAATACACGTTTAGAAAACAGCCTAATACCGTAACAATTCAGTCTTCGAAGGTAAATTATGCCTTTCAAGTTCAACTTCCTTCTTCTAATCTAATTATAAAATAAATTCATTTTCATCAACGGTGTGTTTGGTACAAACGAAAATGTTTTCCTAGAAATTGTTTTTCTCTAAAATAATTAGATATTTGATTTATTTTGTCATGTTTGATTGGTGAGTATAAAATATTTTAATGTTTCGTTTTTGACTGAATTTTTGAGAAATATTTTTTATTTTTATTAAAGTAGAAAATAATTTTTCAAGTTGATTTTTCTTAAAAAACAAACTGATATTTTTTCGGTAGTGAGGGTTGGGGCTGGGGTAGTTCGCGGGTAAGGATGAAAAAATTAATATTTGAAGTTTAATTATTTTTTTTTAAAAAAACAATATTAATTTTTTTGGTTGATAGGGGGCTAGTGGGGTTGGAGGTCGAGGGTATGGGCGAAAAAATGAAATTTTGAAGTTAAAAATATGTTTTAAAAAATAAACTTCAAACTTTTTTAGGGATAGAGGCGCTGGTAGGGGGGCCTTGTAGGGGTGGGTGGGCTGGGGGTTCGTAGGGTGGGGTGGGGTAGGAGAGAGGTTGGTAGAGAGTTTTGGAAAATATAAATTGCTTAAGTTTCGAAGAGAAGTCATTTACTTAAATTTGAGGAAAATTAGTTTATTTGGAAAACATTTTCGAAAATATTGGATCCACTTAAACATAAAAAAATTGAAGAATATTTTTCGGAAAAGTTTTTCCTCCTTACCAAACACACCCCAAGTGTCGCTATGTTTAGGGATATAACCTGATTTGACCCGTCCATTTATCAACTCTTGACTATTTGATCCGCCTTAATTCAATCTTCGTATTTGGCATCCTACTTGATTTATAATTTAATTCAGTAGCTTATATGACTTGTTTTCAATTAATAAAGGGAAAAGGGTATGATATACCCCTCAACTTTGTCATTTAGAATTGATATACCCCTCGTTATAAAAATGGCTCATATATACCCCTACTTGTAAACAAATGGCCAATATATACCCTTTTCCTCTAACGGAAATGAAAAAAATAATAATTTTAATCTAAAATTTTATTATTTTTTTCTAAAAAATATAATCC